GTGGTTATTGCTCGTACAGGAAAAAACCCAGTCCAGAGTAAGGTAAGCTGCTTTCACCTACGGCGCCTTGGACTTTGGTGTTACGGCCTCCTAAGTGTTTTACTCTTCATTAGACTCGGGGAACCAGTCCATGTCATTCAAACCACTTTACAATAGTGACATACGGCTTCCGCCTGACAAATTTGTCTCATTATATAGTATACAACATGATATATGGAAACTTATATGTTTCAGGGTAAAAAAGCATTTAGCTGTGTGTGGAGTCTGTCTAGCCAGTAAACTGTGACAACAGAAGCTACAGGACTTATTGTTGTTGTAGGGCAGGCCTGAAAAAAATTATAAAAATCAAATTTCTTAATCTTATTTATAAAAAAATAAATGGCCTTTTCACTTGCCTTCCATTTACATGATTTGGCCATACTGATAGCTGGCTACCGTACTAGGATTAAGAATGTGTACATTTACCCCGTGGACCATTTGAAGATTACACTGCGATTAATGCGGTGGAAAATACAATAGAGAGAGTGTATAATGATAGGGTTGCTAAACGATTGTTGACGGCATATAGCAACTAGCCTAATCCCCTGGACGCCTGGGTAGCCACGCCCCCTTAGAGTACTTATGTAAACAAACGGTCTCCCGTAGCGAACTATCCTTTTGTTCAACAGCTTCGCGCGTGCAGCTGATTATGTATGTAGTGACACTATAGCTAACTGCATATAAATTTGTGCTAGCTGTTACTTGATTCATTCTGCTGTGTCGGATGTTGTGGATCAGCCCACTGGTTCGTTGACTTATGTTTTTCTGAAGATTGGTGGTGCAGATTTTGAGTGCTTAATTATTTACCCTCTTCTAACAAGAGAAAGGGGAAGGGAGATAAAAAGAGAGAGTGTCAAATGAAACGGGTAATGAGTAATACATTACATTAAATAAAGGGACTCGCGGTGGAAGAAACGATAGACTGTTTTGCATCAAGGTATGCCATTATAATCCGACATGGCCCATAACATGATCCATAACATGACTCATTGTTGTATGCCTTATATTTGTGCCGACTTATATTTTACTCTCGTTCATTTCGTGAAACTATTTCCTTGAATAAAGTTTTGCCTGTATAAATTAATTTTGTGACATGAAGTAATTAATAAAACGCGCCTGTTGAAAAGGGGGCTTTTCGTAACTAATAAAGGTTCACTGTTCACAAAAATATCGTCGCCGTTCGTCGCCGCTACCTTCAGGAAAGCGTACCCTCCGCGTGGATCACCGGCATTTTTGATTATCTGACAAATTAGGGCAATTTACGTTTTAGCTAATAATTCTGAATTTACTAATATTTTGGACTAAATTCGATGTCAGATTCATCGCAATGACGGAGAGCCGCCAGAGTAACTGTTTAATTGTCTAAACTAATCAAACTAGAACGCGTGGCGATAAAATGTGTCGCTAGATCTTGAAAACACTCAGCGAAATGCACCTAGTGACTATATTCAATGTGCCGTCATTTAATTGCTTTCTCGATTTCATTAATTGACGATAGTAATTGCAGATAACAAGGAAGAGGAAATGCTGAAGACAAAACAACGTCGGGTCTTTGTGTGACTTTCTCCCTAAACACTTTTTATGTTGCTGTCAAAGAAAAAGGAGTCTAGATAGCGATTATTTAAACCACTGCTGCTGCTTTTGCAGGTAGACTTCCTCGTTTATCATTTAAATGCTCCCCTCCCCCAGCAGACCCAACTTGATGCATGTACGTCTTGGTAGCTATAGTACAGATCTTGGTTCAAGTAATGAAAGGTTTAAGCACAAAACGATAATTTGAGGCTATTTTTTCATTCAAGACAAAATAAAGTATCTATGGTGTGTGACAATAGGGACTTTACAAAGCTTAATTTGTCCTTAAATATATATTCCAGTAGCATAGGCGAGCGACGTAATTGTAACCTCAACTTGAGGTATCCTCGATGAAAGCGGAGTACAAAAATTAACTTTTTTA